AGTCAACAGAAAATTCATCTAACTTTCAGACATTAGAAAAAAAAGTTTATATGAATGTCTATGCCCTAAAATAGCATACTGTTTCAGGAAAATTTAACAGGATGGCATAAAGAACTTAATAGATTACTTTTCTAAATGATATTAGTTGCTTGGGGGAAGCAACTTAAAAATGCTTATTAAATTCCAAATACCTTGTGAATATCCTGAAAATGTGTAGAGTAAGTCACATTTAAATGTGTTCATTGCATTTAAGAGTCTGCTTTACCCAAACCACAAAAACACTTATTTTATTTTGTCTAATCAACTAATAGTTAATAATTCAACACTGGGCTATTTATTGCTTTTCTCTGGCTAATCAATGGCATCAAAGATATGCTGGTTTTCCATAACTAAAGCCTTCTAAGTTTTCTTATCTCTTCCCATTCTGGCAACTCAGTCATATTAGGGTAAGTAGGGTTGATAAGGAGAAAAACAGAGAAAGGAGGAAGGGAAAGAAAACAGGTAGAAGGTGTGGCGAAACCTAGGGTCTCAGGTGAGGTCTGTTGCTGGCACTCCTATCCTATTGCTGAGCGACTTCAATCATTTTATAATGCAAGAGTCCTCAAAAACCAAAAGTTCAAACAGAAATTTCAATCATACAAACTTTGTGAGGATCACCATGATACCACAAAAAGAAAATTCCATATCTGACCTCCAAATCTATGTTGCAATCAAAGCAGACACACAATTAAAATAATAAATAAATAAATAAATAAAGTGGTCTGTGTATTCTTGTGTATGAATATGTGAATGGGTTGTGTGCCCGTAATATAGAGTGAGCTGTGCACAGGTCAGGGGAGTTTGTGCTGTTATACCATGCTCTATCTACCTTATTCCCTTGGCCAGCAAGCACCAGAGCAATACCTATCTTTTCTTGTGTGTACAGGCGCCAGGGTTCCAAACTCTGGTCCTCATGCTTACATGTCAAGTGCTGTTATCCACTGAGCCACCGCCACAATTCCCTAAGATAGCAAATGAACTTACCTTTAGCACATCTCTATGAAGCGTGCTTGAAACAGGAATTTCACTACTGGACTTACATTCAGCCTGTAAATTACCACTCAGTATATATGCAAATGTGAAAAACCATTCAGCAAATCTGAATCCCAAAGGCCTTCCACCCTTGTTCACTTCAATGAGGCATGCTCAGCGCCCCCTGCCATGCTTTCCTGCTGACGTTGAAGTGTTGCACGCCTACTCTGTCAGGTAAGCATGCTTTTTCCTTCCACCTTGAAATCAACAGTTATAAACTATCTCTTCTGTTCTAACATCACTGTTGTGGCCATCATTTCTAGCTGTAGCTTTGGAGGAAAAAAAAAAAGCAAGAAAAATAAAAGCCTTCCTTCCAGCATTTCCTATATGTAAATAAGAAAACAGGCTCGTGCTCCTATTGGCTGCATGATGGGCTTAAAAAAAAAAATGAGGCCTGCACATGTTGTAATTGTCAAACAGCCTGGCTGACTTTTGACCTGATTTAGAATTATTTGAAGCAGCTTACTGACACTGCCAATAACATCTCACACAATAGAGCACACATCTTGTAACTGAACCACAGACACTGCGCAGCAGCATAAAGAATACAGGAAATACATGTTTCAAATGTAAACTGCTCCAAGATACTTGCTACTGAAGGGTCTGGAAGAAGGGCCCTCACAGAGCCTCCTTACACGGCTGTGTCACAGTTTCGGAGTCTTTAATGCTTTCTTCTCACGAAAAGTCTGTAATTTTTCAAGTCATCCCATGTAACAAAAGTTTGCCTACCTTTCTATCAATAAAGATTTAGTCGAATATCACTGGATATGCTTAAGCCATAGAAACAGAGCTTGCCTTCCAAAGGTTGGATGAAAGAGACAGACAGCCTTTTAGAATAGTGAGTACCACTCTAATCTGAAGCTTGTACTGTCCTTTCAATCTGGACAGAGAAACAATTAATAAAGGGACCCATTAAGACCTGATTATTGCAGCTAGAAAAGGAAGGTAGAATTTCAGCCCTTTGAAGTAACTGAGAATGATTCAGGCCTCATTACCGAGATATAATCTACATTCATACATTTATGTTAGTGATTCAAATCTATTGGGAGAGATTGGATTCCGTTAAATAGTGCATCTCTCCCGTGGAACTTTTCTCAGGCTTTCTGGGGCTACCCTGAGAGGTGACTTTACAATACAAAGTGGTGGGGGATTTAGGGATCGGACTGTGCTGGGAAAGAAAGGCAGCACAGAAAGGAAAAAGAAGACGGAGATATAATCTAAAAAGCCATGTCAGCTTCTCCATTGGGCAGTTTGGTAAATGCCCTCCCTGTCATCAACACTGTACAGAGGAGAGGCGAGAGGACCTCAGACTGCTCAGACACCGCACCTGCTGTGGCCAGTTTTAATATGGAAGCTTCGAGAATGGCTCTTTCCTCATTTTAGATAGAATTAAAGTAAAACTTTTAGCTAGAGGATCTGAATAAGCTTCTCTGGAACAAAAAGGTAGTGTGTGTGTGTGTGTAGGAGACACACACACACACACAGAGAGAGAGAGAAAAAGAGAGAGAGAGAGAGAGAGAGAGAGAGGTGTTGGACTGAATGTGTGTCTGGTGTGAATTAAAAAAAGAAAAACCACTCAAGTTGGCATCAATAGTGTTGGTGCCCAGTGTAAAGAAACCCCAAACTAATTACTTCCTGTGTTTCATAATTTTTCACAAAAGAATCTTCATTGTATGTTTCCATCAAACATATTTTTAAATATAGTTTCAATTAGTTGTCAATTCAAACATTTGAATTCTTCTTTCTATGAGGATGCAACTTAAATTCCCTAAGAAATTGTCTGCTCTCTCTGTCATTTGTCTGTTCAGGTATAAAACTGTGAAATAGGAAATTGAAATTAGCACTGTGGCCTCATTTTTCAATATCCATACTTTAATTAAAGAAGCAAGACTTCTTTGACGCATGCTCTTTATTTGCTTAACTTTTCAATTAATAGCTACAGAAATCAGCTAATTATATTAAAGTTAGAAATCTGCTGTGATGTTCGTCACATTGTTGAAATCTTTTGAATAAGCATTGCAATGAGTTATAAATAATGCAATTAAAATCCCGATTCTGCTACTAAATAGTTCTATTTCAAAGGCGCTGAACACACAGAAAAATATAAGAATATGCATTCAAAGCCATTCTTGAAGTCCCTAAAATGTATTTGGGCAATCATTAACAATGCCTATCTCTAGAACTTTTAAATTTTAATTTTCTTTCTCCAGTTATCCAGGAAGACTGAAACCGAATGCTCATGACAAGGTTTCTAGCTTGTGTGCAAGTTCCTTTTGTAATTTTTTTTTTCCTGAATCATTGTTGCGGTTGTCTGTCCAGTTCACCTTGAAATGTCTGGATCTTATGCCGCCTCTTAGGTTGAGCTATGTGAAATTGCCACTTTCCTAAATGGAAAGCTCTAAGATATTGACAATTTGTTTGGCTTAGACAGAACACAGATGGCTAACTGCCTCTCACAACAGAGTAATCTATGTTCATGCGTTCTCTCCAGCCACTGGTTCCCTAGCTTAGATATTTTCCTGAAGAAGTGATCCTCTGGGAGTCAGAATTGTATCACACTCAGGTAGGAATGGGTTAGCACAGTATTTCCTTCTGTGTGTGTGCCTTTTGATTCTGGGCAACGGCTTCCTGGGCGGCTCCTGACTTCTGTCTGCATCTGGGTTAAGAGCTGGTTTGTGCTAGCTGTGGTAGAGTTACGGGTTGGCGTGTGCCTGGGGTGTGAGTGGACGGTTTGTAGGTAGTGAGGCTGCATTGTAAAATACAGCCCTTCAAACATTACTTTTCCTCCTCTTTAGACGGTAAAATGCAAAGGAAATTACATAGGGAAGAAAACAGGCAGCAGGGGATTTGGTCAAATTGTGTGATAACATCTGCGATCGCAGGAAAGTACTTAGACTTTGAAGTTCATGCGTGATTCTGTAAAGGACTCATGTTAGCAATTAGAAATCAGTAACTCGGGTCCCTGATTTCATTTACGCCAAGAGAGAGGCGATGTTTAAGGGTGACGATAAATCTCCCTGAGCTTAAAAAGTCAGAGAGGGCCAAAGTGTGAACTTTTTACTTCTGCAACGGAAGCGAGAAATCAATGATTCATTAAAACCCGAGACCTCCTTGGAAGCTGGCAGGAAAGGAGGAAACGAAGCAGCTCGTTAGGTCTCCCTTTCCGACTCTAGCTCCTATCAGTTTATTATCTGCTAATCTTGGGGAGAGTTTGCCCTGAGCATCCCCCCCCCCCCCCGCCCTTGTGCTCTCTCCCCAGCCTTCTTCCCTGCTTCTGGAACCTGGAGGGGAGAAACGCACAAAAGCCAGGCTCCAAATTCTATTTTCACGGCCAATGGGGGGTGGGGGGGAAAGAAAGAAAGAAAAAGAAAAAAAAAACTACACTGGAAAACAAGTGAGCATGGGGCTCCCAGGAGGGGAGTGGTTCCCGCCGGAGGGCAGCAAAATTCGGAAAGCACGCGGACAGCTCGCGCTGGTGGCCAGCGCAGCTAGCACAGGACGCTGGAGCAGCAATTAGCTGGAGTTGCAGGCTGCGGAGCGGCTGCGCCCACGGAGGCTGTGAGGAAAGGACCCGCAGCCCCCAGCTCAGAGCAAAGACATCGCGCACTCCTCTCGCCAGGCTCCCCCCCCCCCAACCCGGCCCCTTCTCCACCCCCTCCCTTTTCCCTGGCGTTCCCAGCAGCTTAGGGTTTCAGATGTCCCACCGCCGTTTGACCCCCCTCCCCCGCCTTCTCCACCCCTGCAAATGAGGTTTGACCAGCAGAGTTAGAGCCCACCTCTGGCTGAAAAGCACTGACATTTAGGCTGCAGGCTTCAACCTGTTTACAAGCGGCTTTCCAAGGGCCTTGGAGGTGGAGGGTAGAGCCAAACAAAACACCAGCCGCCAGCCGCCCCCCAAACTAGAAGTGGCTTTCGGGAGACTTCACATCAACAGGCACCACCAAAAAGAGAAAGGAAGGAGAAGAAAACAACAGCGCCTGGGCAGCTGCCTCCAGTTCTGACAACTCCAAAGAGACACACTTTTTAAGTTGGCCAGCAGGCTGGGACTCTGCAGGGAAGGACCAGAAGGTGCCAACCGCAGAGGGGCGCAGATGTCTTCCTGCACCCCCACCCCACCCACTTTGGGTTTTGTTCACCGTGCTGTCATCTGTTTTTCAGACCTCTTTTGCATCTAACATGGTGAAGAAAGGAGTGAAGAAGAGAACAAAGTAACCCCTGAGTGGGGAGCGGAGAGCGCTGGTGACCGACACCACCAGTTCCTACTGCTGCGGCCACCCACGTCCACTGTTCACCCGGAGACTGGAGAGATACAAGCAGCGGATCTGAGAACGGAGCGAGGACAGGCAGCCGGCCCTTCTGAGGAGTTATGGATGTTGGTGTATTCGCTTCTGGCCAGATCCGTACCCGGAGGGAGCTAACCAGTAGCCACCACCTCCAGCTGTCTCTTTGCCTCGCACCAGGTCTTACCCTTCCAGTATGTTCCTTCTGATGAGACAATTTTCAGTGCCGAGAGTTTCAGTACAATGTGGAAATGGATACTGACACATTGTGCCTCAGCCTTTCCCCACCTGCCGAGCTGCTGTTGCTGCTTCTTGTTGCTCTTCTTGGTGTCTTCCGTCCCTGTCACCTGCCAAGCTCCTGGTCAGGACATGGTGTCACCGGAGGCCACCAACTCCTCTTCCTCCTCCTCCTCTTCCTCCTCCTCCTCGTCCTCCTCCTTGTCCTCTCCTTCCAGTGCGGGGAGGCATGTGCGGAGCTACAATCACCTCCAAGGAGATGTCCGCTGGAGAAAGCTGTTCTCCTTCACCAAGTACTTTCTCAAGATTGAGAAGAACGGAAAGGTCAGCGGTACCAAGAAGGAAAACTGTCCGTACAGTAAGTTACAAATGCGTGCTCCTCTCTTTCCAATTATCCACCCCCACCCCACGCGGGGGGGGGGGGGGGCAGAATCTGTTCCAGATGTGGCCAGCTAAATATTTATGTCCCCAACCCCTGTAAAATGATGAAGTGGAATACTTTCACACTAAATCAACCCCCTCCCGAGTATACATTGTGCCGCAGGATTCCCTCCAGCACACAAGCCTCCTCTACCTATCGCCACCCTATTCTGGGTCTCTCTAGCTTGTCACTCACAGGGCCACTCCCGGTACCCTAGAGTTGTTGCTGCTAGGAGATTCCCCATTCTGTCTCCAACTCCCCCCCCCCCCCCCCCCCCCCCCCGCCCAATCTCATCCAAAGGTCTCCTTTCCCTCCTTCCTGGAAATGGCTCAAGTAAACACATTTTGTTTCTTTTCGCTGGCAACCTTAAGAGTTTTGGGACAGACTCCTAAAGCTGAAAATAATTATCCTCTGTCAATTATAAGGGCTCTATATGACCTTTAGGGAAGAAGAGTCACTTCCACAGTCTACCGGCCCCCATCTTTTGCTCCACCACTTCTAGATAGAAGCCAAAAGGGTTTTTCCCCCTAGTTTTGAACTCCCCCCCCCCCCCATTTTGGGTCCCTCATTCTGGTTTGAGTGCTTGCAGTCCGTGAAGTTAGCGTTTCGGGCAGCACCACGGCTGTTTGTCTCTTGCCTGCCTTCTCTCTTGGTAACATGATGCTCATGTCTGCATTGTCAATAGCATATGCGCTGCTTTGTGGAGTCTTGTTGTACTGTTTCTTCTGAACCCTCTCATATTGCAGAGGCATAGTACTACAGCATTGTAAACATCTGGGACTGGATTCACACAGACCTCACACAAATTTCATTGTCATTCTTTTATTTTCAAAGCAAAAGCCTAAGTCTGTTTCCAAGGCTGTATCCCATAGGGCGAGGTTTGTCTCCCCAGCACACATTCGGCAGGGGATCCTTGGATCTCATTCTCTCCTTCTTCCTGTCTCTCTGGCCTTTCTTTCCCTGGTCTGTCTTGCGTTGGGGGAGGGGAGAGCCTGAAAAAGGGGAGGAAAAATGAGAAGGGAAGGGGTGGATACCAAGTCTCTTCTTGAACCAACCCAGGCAAGCCAAATTATGCTGTTGGCTTCCTTTTCTGGTTGCTTTCATGTGCTGAGACTTATTCATATTCTATTGATAGTTCTTTGAAAGGATTCCCAAGGCTATGTAATGGCACAATGAAGACAGTAGACAATGACATTTAAACATCTTTAATGACCACTTGGCTTTATCTCTGCAGTAAATTCCAAGTCACCTTTCAAAGGGAACATTTTGTGTCAGTTCTTTGGGAATTCCAAACATATACTGGCCAGCACGCTGAAATAAGTGAGTAACCAATTTCAGAATTTTTTTTTGACTTGGTCGTCATAAAAATGACAAGTGACCAGAATTCAGTATTTATTTTTCAATAAAGACTAAATGAGTTGAGACTTCAATTGTTTTCTTCTTGTGGGACTCACAAAGATCCAACATTCTTTTGTTCCTTTTCAGTTGCTTTCATCCTAGTTGCTCATTAAAATTAGCAATATCTTTTTAAGTAATACCTTTACGGAAGCATTTGAGTAATCTATGTTAGGTTTAGTATTGAAAATATTAGATACCTTATTATTATATATGCAAATATATTTCATTCTGATGCTAAGAAAGTAGCTGAAATAGTATCCTTAATGATAATTTCTCTTCCTTGAAAGTCTCTTGTCACCTGAGTGTGACAGATACTATCCTATAAACAGTCTTTATGGTCTGCTGATCCGAATCTAATAGCTATACCTACTTCTAAAATAAAACTCAGTAGTGGTGCTCAGTTAAAGGAAGAAGCCGCCTCCAAACTGGGCTGCACTGTTTTCTCTTTTATAATTCCCATGGCCCGAATTTCTTTTGTTCATATGGAAAACATGAAGATACTGAGCAAAATGTCCAAGTTTTAACTTTGAGCTTACTTTCCTCTTCTTAACATTTTGATAATAGCTAGGTCTTGCTGTTACAGTGTTAAGTGTTTTTTTAAAATGTGATGTAATGATCAACCTGAAGATATTTTAGTTTATGATACTCAGATGACTATTTTGTAAAATAATGATCCCTGTGCCATGAACTACTTAGTAAAATGACTCCCAGGGAACACATTGAGTTTTATTTTTACAATATGAACTATCCCAAATGAGAAAATTATGCAACTTTTATTGCACAAACAAGTACAGCAAATTTCCAACCTAACATTAAAAAAATAGACATTATCTCTTTTGTGGAATAAAATATGGTAATTACTAATAGTCCATTTTGAAATTAAAAGCTAAATATACAGTATAAGAAGACTGTTCTAATTAACGGTTTAAAGGAGGAGGATGGTAGTTATATTGCTAAATATTGTCAAACCATAACTAATTTAAGCTTTCCAAGAACATGTGTATCAAAACATAGCAAGTGAAAAGCACAGATTGAAAAGGCCTTAATTTCACATGTGGCCCAGTCATCAGAATGGGGCTATCATTTCCAGCTGGACTGATTCAGCTAAAATACATGGTATCATTTAGATATTGTTTAAGTGTTGCATAATTGCACATAAGAAACATTTGCCACACCCACAGGGTAGCCAACCAGTCAGCCCACCAAATATTAGCCTGTTAACTAGTAGACTATCTAACCTCTGAAGAGTGTCAGGTCCTTGTCCAAAAGCCACATTTTGGGACCATTGTCCTAAACAAGATATTACTTAGTATCAATGCACAAAGATGTTATTTTGAGATTTGCATATTTGAAGACTACTTTTCTTTGTTATCATTGCTGTTAGAATACCATCACCGCTTACCTAAGAGGTGATATATTTTTGATGCCTTGGATAATTAAACAGTGTTTCACTGGCTCATTGCCAGCAGAATGCTAACAAAAGGGAAGAGTGGAACTCATTCATAAGTATTGCAAAATGATGTTTTTTTTAAACTTCATCCTCCAAAGTTAGCACCTTGTTTTGAATAGATCTGAAAGGCTGACATGTGCTAAAGAAATTCTTCTCAAATTAAGTGATCACTAAAGCTTTTTTCTTTAGAAGGGGAGAGCTGGGATGTAGCGGTGTGTGTGTGTGTGTGTGTGTGTGTGTGTGTGTGTGTTGCTCTTTGCTATTATCTGGAAGTAGAATAAAGAGAGTAGGGGTGAATTATGAAGACTGAGGAAGCTTGAATAATTGAGACTGGCTATAGCATATCTGTCACTAGATATGCGCAGGCTCATTTAGGGTTTGTTTTATCATTCCTTACATCTAGAGCTTTGCCCTTGAAACATTACCACTCAGCTCTGCTTCTGACCTCCTAGAAAGGCTGGATACAGCTGTTAGGTCCCCCTGCAAATGGGACTGGTTGACTTATTTCTGGACATGAGGAAAACAGCTGTGAGCTTCTCCCATGGCTGTCACTTGAAGAAAAAGAATAATCTAGTGAAAGGAAAACGTATCCCCAAACGAGAGACAACTGAATGGATGTTCCCAATACAGCATCCCAGAGCTTATGGGCCTTTCTGAGAAAAGATTATGAAACACAGGGAGTATAGAGCACACAAGCCATCTCTTGAAATATGTGTCCCAATTAGTACTCATCATAGTAACATAGCTTTGATTAACTATGAGCATTTTAAAATGTTTAAATTAAGGTGGAAAGATGTAAAGTTTCCAAACACTCAACTGGCAAGTGACAGAAGCACATTGCAAATCTAACCCTAGCTGGTTATCTCTCCTTGTAGGCTGTAGTGCTCTGCTAAACTGAACAAGAATCCAAGTTTATTAGACCAAGACACTCCCACCCTCCTAAGAACGAATCATTTAAAACTCGTGTTGCCTTTTGCTGTGAACGCTAATAGATTTCAATCTTAATTGGAAGAGAAGTAAAATGGCTGTGGGAAGAAGATAAAATGTTAGAGATAATCAGTGCAGGTGGTCACATGGTATCAGACAATGGCAGTGTATCATCCAGGTCAAGCCTCTCTCTTGATATTATGTTTGGGAATATAATTGCTTGTGGACACACAGAAAGTACACACACATCAATCTCACTTATGTGAGCAGAGGTCATTAGGAATACACGACTATTTAGGAAAATCCATGAATGTCATTGTATATAGTAATTGTTTACAGCTGAGGGCCAAGTGCTTAATTGTTCCCACGTGCAATAAAATAATTTGATTGGAAATACCTGTGGGAGCTTAGGCTGTTGCAGGAACTTCTAACAGGTGACCCTACAAAGAATGACATTATAGAGACCTAAAACTTTGCAGACAGTAATGCTTGCAAAGTGAATCCGTAAATCAAAAACATATTTTGCCACATAAAAAAGATAGATTGTAATGCTAGACATAGAACTAAAGATTGGCATTATTGTTTTTAATCAAAATTCAGTTTATTATTGAAAAAAGCTAAAATAAATAGTTGTTGAGGAGTACTGTCTCATAATAAATACTCAAGAGTGTTCTGTAGTGTGAGGGAATTCTATGGCAATTTATGGCTTCCGCTGGTGTCTTATTTACAATTGTGGTTCTTTCTAGAATTTGCTTGCAAAATTTATAACCAGAAGCATTTAATCATCAGCGTCGAGGATTTATGAAGGTGGAAGGCACTGTATTTAATGTTTACATGACACTGTCCTATTACCTTTACTGCATTTCTTCCATGTGGACCCTCCACTTTGATGGCTTTATCATAAATCCATTAAAATGCACAATTTGAGAGTTTCCTCTTCATAAACCTGATTTATAACCACCTACTAGAAGAACCCAACAAACCAGTTGGCAGGAATCGCATGCTGGTAGTGGAGGAGGAGAATTCAGGCACCAAACTCTAGGTCTTGGGAATGTCAGTAACCTGGTACCTGAAGGTACAGACCATTCCTTAAAAGCATGTGTTTCCAAAATAATATTTAAACTTACAATTTTTGAAAAAGAAGGGTCCTATTAAATCAAAG